GTAAATCAACAACTTTGCAGCAGGGTAGACATTCCACTCACGTTTCAACTTTAATTATGTAAACAAAATGTGAAATAGCCACTAATTGTGGGGCCCAAGATATACACTAAGTAAAAGAGGTCGGCCCAAACTTAAAATTGAATGGGCCCATATAGTGCATTTACAGTTGCTTTTCATCCAGAAGCAAAACATATGCCACCCTCTCGTGGGTCGACAAACTTTTTGAAAAGTCTCTTTTTTTATGATACTCTCAAATTTCTTTAATTTAATTAATCCTCTTGAAAAAGTCCTAGAAAGGACTTCAAAAATAGAATTAATTTCTTTCAAAGATATAACATATTTTTAAATGAGAAAGAGTAAAAAAAATGATGACAAGAAAGAGTATATTTCTGTCCCAAAAAAAAATAAGAATAAATTAAAAAATTGCGTAAAATTAATGAAATGCCAAAAATAAATTTTATTTAATTTTATTTCCTGAAAATTAGGGTAATTAATTAAGAGAATTTTAGAGCTAAGAAATTTTTAAAAGAATTACTTTTCATCTTCTCTGTTGTTCAAATAATTTAAATCAAAGCTTCAAAATGTAACAAAAAATGTCAATGAATTCCCAAAGAAAACGACGGTTTTCAGGCCCAGAAAAAAAAACATCAATAATTTCAAATTCTCCCACATTTTTCCGCGTTAAAGAAGGAAAAGTAAATATTTTCTCTTCAAAATTCTATAACCAATAATCACATTTGACCTAAAAATAGACAGGTATGCAAGTCAAGTCAAAGTTAATATGATCTGAATTCACAATTAAGAAAAACATCAATCGAACACTCCAACCGATCTGTCCTTTTCCCCAAAACCATCCCCTTCTTGGACTTACATGTGTTCGTCATCTATAATACAGATCCTCACCAGATTTCACGGATCCAATTCTTATTAAATTAATTTTTTGATACATTGATAATCATAAAATTAAGATCATTCTAATTTTATTTTTATTCAAAACTTAAACATATAATTTTAATTTAAAAATAAAAATAGACTGTCCAAATGATTCTGGACCAACAAAATGAGAGAGCCGGCTTGGCACCCTAATCAGTGGCGAAGCCTTACCCTGGGCCACAAATTTACTTAAATATTAAAATTTAAAAAATAATTTAATCATTAGAAATTTGATAAATAATTAAATAGTAAATAATCAAATAGGTTTAAAGTTTAAAATATCAAAAACAAGGGATGCAAATTTTTAAAAATTTGCACTTTAGTATGTAATTTTCTCCAAATATGCCCCTATGCCTACAGTCTCCTAACCATAATGTTCATCATCTTAAAAACGTGAAAATGACGACTTATTTTTCTTGGGCGGGGGGGTGGTTGTCAAAACATGTTCTGTTCATTCAGAGTTGTTATAAACATTACATTTAGAAGTTCATTACCCATATATAACCTAAATTATTTAAGAATAATATTAATCAAACTGCAAATTCTAACATGAACAGGAAGCAGATAATCAATCAAACCCAGAACATAAAATCAATCAAAACAAAGGATTTATTGGAAACATACCTACATCAGAAGCTGCTAATCTGACATACAGATCTTGGCCGCCATCAGTATAAACCCTCATATCTATGAGTTCATCAGTCCACATAACGCACCCAGTTCCTCCATTGGTGATCTCTATGTTCGCATAAGCAGTGCACGAACAATTCTGCTGACACAAACCTCCACAATCTACGAGGTTCATGCTTCTGTTCACGAACACCGAGGTTGTTTCAGGCAACTTCACGTTCTGTACCTTCAAGAACTTATCGGTCCCACAATCTAATTCTGTGTTCCTCACACACCCATCAGACCCATCTCTCAGATTCCATGCTTGTTTGTTCTTAGGACTGAACCCTTTCATACATGTACAAACTGGTGAAGCATTCGTGTCACATAACCCATAGGGACCACATTCTTTGTAGTCATCGCATTGGTCTTTCGGAGCATACCAGAATTTGGTCCAAACTTGGTTATCTGGTACCCAGGTTAATCGTTGAAGCTGACCATCAGGTGTTACGATGAGTCTTGAAAATAACGATTCGTTTCCGATGGTGAATGTGTAGTATAATTGGTGTTCATCCTCGTAGAAGTCGAACTTGATTGTGTCTGTGTCAGATTTCATTTCTGGAACCCCACTGAATCTTACCCCATTCCAAGGTCCACTTCTGTACAGTTTTGTCTGGTTGTTCCACAGGAAAATCTCTGGGAGGCCATGGAAATCGAGCTTGAAGGAGATAAGACCTGTGGATGGATCTTCACTTGAAGTCCATGATGTTATATGCTTCTCCATTTTTGTGTCGAAGTTATACAGAAGCTTCATGCCTGGTAAGAGCGTGTCTGTGGGGTAATCGAAGCTCTGCCAGAGAGAATTCGAATCGTTGGCTTCTCTGATAATCAGATTCCCGGAATCGAGAATCTGAAGAACCGGGTTTTTCGCTGCGGTTTGGTTCGATGACCATATGGGTTTCCCGGTTCGATCCACAATCTGCATATTGTTTCCTGTTTCTCCTCCGATCTTGAGAATCCCATTAGAATCCTCAAGTGGGTTGTCTCTATTTGCGACCCAAACCAGTGTACGATCTGGAATGTTCTTGTACCATATTCCCAGGTAGTATTTTGAATCATCTGAAGAGAAGAAACCCAGAACGAAAGCCTGTTTGGATGACAGAAGCGTCTCGTTGGTTTTGAGAGATTGGGTTGAGCTCAAGGTATCTGATGAAGAGAATGAAATTGCAGGGAAGCAAGAGAGGAAAGTGATGAAGAAGAACCAGAAATGATATTGGAGGAGGAGGTTAGTGAGACCTCCCATAATCAATGGCTGGTTTTGCAGAACCAGAAAAAAGTGAGAGACTATAGATTGTAAAAGTAGGTTATGTAGTTGGATTTCGTTTATATATGAAACCAATTTTCTCCTTAACTCTTCTTTCCTCACCTACTTTTCATATAGTTGATTTAGACTGTTGGGCCGTTTTAAATTTAATTTAATTTAATTTACTCTAAGTGTTTAAATTATGACATACTTTCAATTATATTTCACATATTAATTTTTATTTTTATGAAAAAAATTACATGTTTTTCGTTGTTGCCCTTAACTTTTTTTTATTATGAATATTGAAAAGAAGTGTTTAGTTATTTGACCTAAAAAAATTAGTTACTCCCTCTATCTTAAAATGTAAAGTATTTTTTAAGGAATTAAATATTAAAAAATATAAAAAAATTTTAATTTTTTAAGTTATAATCATTATCTTTTAAAGTGTCCTTATTGAATAAATTAGTTTATATTTATTTAAGGTAAAACACCCTATTAAATAAGAGTAAATATGAAAAAGATAGAGTTGATTTAAAGACAAGTAACTATTTTTATTAAAGGGTGAGATTTGATTAAAAATATTTTATATTTTTTAATAAAGTGAGTATATATATTATATTTTTTATGATCCCAATAATTAATACAAGGACAAATTTAAAAAAATAATTTTGGAAAATACTAAATGTGCTACATTTTCGATCAAGCTTAATTAGAAAAAAAATGACTTACATTTAGAATTGAGGGATTTGTCTTACTAGATTTATTTTTAATTTTAATTATTTTTTTAGATATTAAATTCCAATCATCTAAATTTAGTCTAAATTATAAGAAAAAGAATTACCGACATATATTCAATCCAATATCACTTTAATAATAAGGTCATGAATTTGATTCTTGTGTAATATAAAATAAGCACTCTTGGAGAGATAATTCAAACAAGAAGGCGGCCTTATAACATTATTCAAATGTGAATTATTTGATAAATTGTGAATTATGGCGGTCACAGCAGGTTTGGCTGAGCCAGGTTTGATCTTGGCCCGAAGATTTTTGAGGAGTAGGACCAAGCTTATCAAATGACAATCACTTCTAGAAGGGGAAAAAGAAAAGAAAGAGAAGCACGCAGAATCCAAATTTGTAAATAATTAATTTTACTTGGTTTAGGTATGCAAGATGAGAAAATTGAACAAGTTGACAACGACAATGCATTACACATTTAGTTCGACATTCCATGTTCCTCTTGCTTTTATGTTTCTTGTTTGAATAATGCAGTCCATAGTCCAATATTTGAAAAGGACAATATATATATATATTGGTAAGATTATGACGCAACATGTGCTTTCTGTGACCTAGCTAATGGTTAATTTCCTCAGATTTGATCATTTTTCCTAATACATCGATTCTATGACATCACTTCTGGATTTTATGTTAAAAAAGGGAGAGGGTATGAATCATTCAATAAATCAATTAATGATAGAAACGTTGTGTTTGAAATCTCATTTCATTATTAAGGTACTTGAAAACGTATTTTTTTTTAATTTCTGGATATAAAAAAAGTTATGATTTAAATGTATTAAAATTATATAATATAAAATAGAATTTTTTTTTGTAGAAAAATATACTAAATTTCTAAAACTAGTGTTTAAACTTATATCATAGATAGGGCATCTTTTCATGTTCAAAACGCTTACAGAAATCTTTATATATTATCCCTCAAAAATATTCTTTCATCAATAAAAAAAATTGATTCCACAACTTTATAAGTTATTAACTAAATCCTTAACAATTAAAGTAACCTTTATTGGTAAATAGAAAATATCACATATTTTAATATTTTAATTAAACACAATAAAGATGTATTCAACTTTTTAAAAAGTTGTGTTACTGTATCTTCTCTAGATGTGAAAAATATCTATTAATAATAAATGTGGTGTACCCAGTCTATTTAAGTTTTCTCTTACATCCTTCAATGAATTAGTTAATTATATTTAAAATTACACACTCTTTCTACATTTATCATAAAAAAATTTATTAATTGCACACTAAAAAATTCAAATTGCCTTAAAAATTTATTAATTCCAAGCTCGATGTCGATTATCAAGACCTAGGGCTTAGCTTGAAATCTCCCCTTATATATATATATATATATATTGCAAATTTTAATTAAATTAATTCTCAAATAATATTCAACAAAGAATAAAGTTTAAATTTATAATGAAAAATATTTTCTTTTCAATTCCTCAATCACATATGCATCAAACACTTTACTAACCAATTCAGGGAATGGATCCCAATACAGTAAAAATGGTGTAGTGGTTAGGAAGTGAACAATCCTTTCTGTGTATCTTATCTAATTGTTAGTAAGAGAAATATTCATAAAAAGACTTTTCACATGCAAAACACATTTGGAAAATCAACTATTTAGTATGTATTTAATTTTTAATTTATATCTGATAAAAGCACATTTGGGAGGGTCCAACTATTTGTTGGATTTAGTAAAAATATATCCCAAATGTGATTTAAATGTGCTTTTGAGGGTCACCTAAATAAGTCCTTGATCACATTATATACACTATTATTTATAAAATTTTTTTAATAAATTTGCTTTATCACCAATTCAAACAATCAAAATTTAATTTGAATAGTTCAAATTTAATAATAAATGTCCATAATTTTTTAAATTGACTATCCAAATTTATTTTGAATACAATTCAAATTTAGAAATTTTAATTAGTATTTTTTAAAAAATAATATTTTTTGGAAACTGTCAATTAGGATATTATCATTATTTTTTATTTCATTTATCAAAGTAAAAATTATATAAAAAATTAATATTAAATATGGATTGTTTAGTGTACATCTGAATAGTCAATTTATAAAAATTTTAAAAATAATATTAAATTGAACCATACAGATTAAATTTGTACTATCCAAATTAGTAATTAAGACATTTATTAAGAATTTTATAATTTATATACTTTTTAACAATTATAATTTTTTTAGTTAAACATGATTGTATGTTTAGTAATACTGCTTACTAGCCACATATAATTAATCATTAATTAAAACTCTACCATACCATAGTAAATAAACAAAAGCAATGTTTCCAAATATTTACCATAATAAAAAAGGTTAAACATAGTCAAAGGCTTCAAGAAAAAAGCCTAGGTATAAAAACCACTTTAAAGTTAGGATCTCATGATTAAATAAATTTGAAATTAGCACGTTCTAAAAGGTTCCAAACACTTTTAAAAAAAAAAGAGTTAAACAATGTTTGAGAAGTGTGGGAATTAGTTAGGCCTAAAAACAATCCAAAACAAGGTCAAACAAGGTCAAAACAACATGACAAATGCAATATGCCGTGACATGTGATACAAAAGCCATTCATGTATAGCTAAAGGTACAATGCATTATGGCCTACGCCTAATATGTTATACACTATAGCACAGGCTACATGACAATAATGCTATCACAACAAAACTTTGAAACAAATTTCTAGCAGGCATACCTTTTAAGTTAAACATCCAATTAAGATCATTCAAGAGCCTACATGTAGATGATTTCATAATCTAGCTAATATTACTGGCTTTGGTTTCACCAAATCTGATATCATATAGGGATTTTGGACACTCGGGGTGCCGTTTCAATTAATTTGCATTCTTTCATAATCAATAAGTGTCTAAACTCCTACCAAATAGTTATTAACCCACACAATGCTTTAAACTACACTCAATGGACCATAAAGAAATTTCCTAAATATCCAAACAACTCATACACATCATATAACCAAAATCAACCATCCAACAACCACAAATCAAGGGTCTGACCATATGAATTTTTCTCATAAGATATCATCAACATATCAAGGCATTCAAAGTGAATTTGTCACATCTAAATATACCTGCATATAAATTGGACCCAAACAAAAGCCAACAATGGGACAAACCCTAATGTTGGGCCAAATACCCTAAAATGCCAAATAATTAATGTTAATAGCTATATGCAAGCTTAAATTCATACATGACCCCTAATTGGAAAATATGTATTTGATCAACACAAAATAAAATCTAGGGACATTACAATCTAGAATTAAGCATCTCTATCCTCAAAGGCCTCCCTTTTTCCCTAGTTGAATTCTCACCTATAAAATGATAAACCACAAGAGTAAAGATAAACATCCCAATAACAAAAAAAAAACTAAAACTCATACACGTGCAAGTGTAGTAGTCATGAGCATGCAATGGCGTATTTCAAATCAAGGTTATCCAAGTATTCAAGCATGCAATTAAGCTAGATATGAAACGCATGATCAATACATCACCTTATTACTCTCCTTATTTCCTTTAGTTGAACCCATGACCTACTATTATGAATAAGACTAGCCCATGTGACTAGACTAACTCAAGCTCTACAATTGTGAGAAATAATTCGGCCAAAGGTTCTCATACTCACTTTCAAATCATGGATTCCCCCTCTCTTGAATCTCAAGGTTGTCATAATGCCTAACCCACATTATTCCCCTTAGGAACTAGTGATATAAGGTAATACCCAACTCATGCAATTTTCTAAAGGATAATAATAACACCAAGCAATTTAAATACAATCACACCAACCACTAGGGCCACTCGTAGTGAAGGATTATAATATGAATTTAAAGTCTCTACTTTCTTTATAGTGAACTCTCACTTAAATATGATAATGCCAAAAGTACAATTCTTGCTCTTTATGTACAATTTCATAAACTCATGCTTAACTATAGCATCAACCATTAACATGCTTGAATTTCTTGTTAATTAACAAATCATCTCATTAGCATTATATAACATATTTACCCACTTAACAATGTTTTCTAAAAAATAAACAAGATAAATTTTCATATTAAAATACATTGTAAGAATTTCACATAACTTATAACAATAAAAAAAGTATATATAATAATGTAGGTTTCTAGTTATCTCAACTCTTAGTTTTACAAACTAAGAGTATCTGTGTAAACTAAGTTGAGCCTCCAACAAGCCTAAGTACACCAACAACCCAACACAATTGCACA